TCTTATTTATGCACAATACAAGACATTTTTAATTAAAATAATAAGTTGCTTTTTTTATTTCATTAAAAAGATGAATGCATGATGTGTAAATATTTTTTTTTATTTTAATCATTAATTTTCCTTTTTTTTCATTTTGCAGTGGCTTAAATTGATTAATAAACACAAATTGTTGTTGCAACAAAAAAAAGAAGGAAGAATTGAAATAAAATAAAAGTTTTAAATAATTGTAAAATAAATTGCTACATATCATATCACTATGCTCCGCGAACTAAAATGAATGAAAATGATGAAATGAAATGAAAGGCATAAAATGTAACAAATAATTATTTCATTCAAAAATGAAAAACAACTGTGAAAAGAAGTGAAATAATTAAAGTCAATTTTGATGAAATGAACAAAAAAAAATAATTCTAAGCTAATGAATATAGCAAGACCTAAAGCTACCAATTTAAACATGCAACAATATCATAGTTTTCATTTCAGCTGGTCAGGAAAAGAAAAAAATGAAAAAAAAAGAGGAACCTAATAGAAAATTTTAAATTGTAATGAAATGGAAAATTTAAAATTTAAATAGCAATGAGAATTAGCAGAAAAGTAAAATTTGCTATATATGAGTATACATCTTTTCCAAATTTTATCGCATGCTAAATGAATTTGATATTCAAATAGTTTTTTTCTTTCTTTTTTTTTTTTTTTACTCATAAATAATTTCATAATTCAGATGAAAGTTATACATTTATGGTGAAGCGATAGTGAATAAAAAATATTAAGCTAACCTGTTGCCGCATTGTAGCATCAGCAATTGGTGTGGTACCGTTAAACAGAACAACCTGTAATACTCGTCCAGCTACAACACCTGTATCCCAACTTTCATTCCATTCTGGATGTATTGTTTTACGCTTTTGTATCAAACGTTTCTCACCTGAAATTATATTTGAATATAAAATGATCCATTTTTCTTTTTTCATTATAGAAATTTTCAATATTACTGTTTGAAATTTGTATGAAATATAACAGCTTTTATTATTACAAATAAACGATAAATTTTTTTTCAATTATAACAGAAGTATAATAAATGCTATATGCTTTCATTTTCTGTATGAAGGAGAGTAAGAGGGAGAAAAGGAGAGACAGAGGTAAAGAGGGAAAGGAGTAAGATAATTCTTAGAAGAGAATCCGAATGAAATAATTTTTTGATACCGCGGTATCACCATATTAAATTATTTATCATTATGCATATTTTATTTCTAAAAATCATCATACAGCAATAACGACTTCTTCTTTTTTTCTCGCTTTTGATGTTATCCAAAATTCAAATTACCATCAAAACATATGCACAAATTAGAAATGGATTAAAATAAAACTAATTTAAAAAATTGAGCTTTTTTTTTTTAAATTTGCTTAAAAATTCAAGTATTTATGAAGGAAGGTTCAAATATATATATTAAAATATTTACCATTAATTTCAACACGTTCTTTTACATTGATAGCACAATGTAAATCAGTAATATTTTCTGGTTGTATTTCTGGTGGTAATTCTGGACGTAGTAATTTAATTCGACAAGTTGTTTCACCTTCCGGAACAGCTGGCATAATTTTATCGTTTGGTGGAATTGTATCGTTATCGTTGTCGTCTTCCTCAATTGTTTCTGGGAAATCTTCCAATGGTAGTATATTATAAGCCTAAAAAAAAATTTTAAATTTAAGGAAAAAATTATGAAAGCCTAATGAATCACAATATCAGGCATAATCTTTACGCATATAATATCAGCTGGACATGATTGTCGTTTTTT